AGAGAAAAAAGGAAAGAAAAAACCAACAAAACCACATATAAATTTAAATTTAAATTTGTATTCTGAACACATTCCTTTAAGACTCCTATATAGCAGGGCACCTTTCAACAGTCTCATTTACAGAAAGTTCCTCATCAACATATTATCATGTTAGGAAATATCAAATTAGGAAATAAAATTGTACAGTTTATATGAAATCTAGATAGAAACTACTCTTTAATGTTTCTTTGGCCACAGAAAAGAATAATCAACATAAGATATTTTAGACAATCGGGTAGATGTGCCTTTGAAATGGACCACACAGTGTGGTTTTGGTGGCTGAAGTCAGTAGTGAGAACAACTATATTTGGTGTCCAATGCATCTATCTTGTGATCTTTTCTAGCATTAACTCTGTTTCTGTTTCTGTTTTTGTTTTGTTTTAATTCAAATTGGAAAACAGTTCAGAGGGGGGAAAACACTTGTATTATGATTTGGTATCCATTCTTTTTTTTTAATGGTATCCATTCTTGATTAATACAAATTATAAGCGATTCATTCTCCAAATCTTAGTGAAAGTCTTTGATTACTAAAAAAAATTCAGAAGTCTAGATCAAATAACTTAAATTTCTTATAATTTAAAAATTACTGTAAAGTACTAGTGGGACAATATTGTCCAATGTCCATAGTAACATTACATGTATTAACCAAAAGGCAAAGGTAATTCCCAAGTCCACCAATGGATGGATGTGTAAACAAGATGTGGTATGTACAACACAACAGACTATCACAGTCCTTTTATTAAAGTGTTTAGTACTGACATCATTAATTTACGAACTCAGCCCACTTCTCTAGAGAGAAGGACTTGTGTTGTGAGGACAAACAGTGTGAAGAGAACACAACACCGAGACTTTGCACACTGGCCACCATGTTCAGAATTACTACAGAGGGCTGTCCACGGTGTCCCCATAGTACAACTGTAGGGTAGACCCCGCCCCATCTCAGCATCAAAGAATCCAGGAAAAGGACCACTTACCAAATTCACACTTGATAGGTTTTCCTGAAGTTGCTCCATTTCCTCTGACTGCTTTTTTATTGTAATTTTAAACTTGGAGTTTTCAAGTTCAAGCCTAAAATTTTATTTTAAAATAATTATATTTACAAAGCAGTTTAAAAACTATCATATAGTTTCTGAAAATCAACTGAGTCACTACATAAATTCTTAACGGTCTGAAACGCAGATGACTGGGTAACTAATTTCTCTAGCTGTGTTTTATGGGTCAGGAGTCAAAGCTAGATCTTCATGCACAGGCTGCACCCCGAACTGCATCCCTACTCAAAGGTATGCGCTTCAAGAAGCTTAGAGGTGAGATTCTGCCCTGGCTTCAGAGAGACTACTATCAGGACTGACAGAGCTGCCACACTGTACTGCTTATCTGCTTTATAAATCCTGGGTCACAGAGCTGCCACACTGTACTGCTTATCTGCTTTATAAATCCTGGGTCACAGAGCTGCCACACTGCATTGTTTATCTGCTTTATAAACACTGGGTCACAGAGCTGCCACACTGTATTGTTTATTTGCTTTATAAACACTGGGGTCATGCTGTTTAAACTGTACTTTTGTAGGTGGTCTTCCATCTTCTCAGCACGCTGTACAGCCTCTCTGTGTTGATCCTGTGCTTCCTGCAACTGGAATAAAGAATAAAACAAATCTTTACTAGTAAGCTACTCTAAGTCTGCACACCTCATTCCCTGACCTGCAGTGTTCAAGTGCACTTCTCTGCAGTGAGAGCAAATTAACTGAGTTGTTGCAACAGGGATCTTACACTCTCAAAAACTAAAATATTACCTGGCCCTTTACAGAAAAGTTTACCGACGTCTGCTCTGTGACTGACAGTCCATTTGTAAATCATAATCTGCTGTTGCCTGGCTAGCTCAGCCAGCAAGTCTTCAACTGTACTCCACCAGATGCAAATGGACAACATGGGCAAAACCAAGAAAAGGGGATTTCTGACAGTAAGCGTTTGCACTTCTGCATTCCACCCAATTTTCTGTCAACTGCCATTTAAAAGTTCTTATGCATATGAGATATGTATCTATGTATTTATAAATTGCCACAGCTCTGCCAGTTATGATGAACATGGTGTTTTAATGATAGCTGGTTGTCTTATGAAATAATTTCAGTGGAGGTATATTCGCACAGAAGCCAGAACATTGTTGCAGGACATGTGATCACACTGTGAACCTCAAGATTGTGTTATTTACTGGAAAAACCTTTTTCTAGTTTGTGGTATGGCTTAGCCATAGCACATACCTTTAACCCAAGAGTTTTCTGCTTGAATACTGTAAACCGTAAGTCAAGAGGCAGAGCAAGCAACAGGAAGCAGAGACAGGACTTTTAGGAAAAAACAGAGTAAGAGGGACTCAGGACAGGAGAGAGAGGCACAGGAGGATAAGGGAGGGACATTGAGTCTGAGGGTTTTTGTTGTTGTTGTCTGAGACATCAGAAGAGAAATGGGGTCTTTCTGGGGACTGTTGGCTGAGGAAGGAAGGTCACCAGGACACTTTCTCTGCCTCTCTGAGCTTTCACCCCAGCATCTGGCTCCCAAGTCTTTATTGGTAAAATTGAATGATTGAGATTTTGATAAAAACAACAGAATGCTTGGGTCCAACGCCTCTTCCCACCAGCTACTAGATGTACAGATTCTGTGCAAATGAACTTTCTGTATCTTAGTTTCTTCAACTTTGAAGTGGAAATAATCCTATTCACATTAATGGACTAATGAAAAGATTAATTAAGGAATATAAATAAAGTACTTGAACTGTACATAGCAGTGAGACTTCAGGTGTGTGCTATGGCAACAATAGAAGAGGTCCTTTATGCAAACTGTGGCTCATTCCTCATGTAACTGAATATGGCAGGGATGAGGAAAGTGAGGCCCATACTAGATCCCTAGTAATTCCTGCAACTTCCAGAAATTTCACTAGCCACCAGTAACTTTGTCCATGTGGAATGCTTTTTTGTTTTTTGAGACAGGGTTTCTCTGTGTAGTGCTGGCTGTCCTGGAACTCACTCTGTAGACCATGTTGTCCTGGAACTCACAATAGATTCTCCTGCCTCTGCCTCCCAAGTGCTGGGATTAAAGGCGTGCACCACCAAGTCCAGCTTGGTAGAATACTTTTTAGCTCCTTTTTACTCCATACTACTTCAGCTGGCAAGGGTCATATAGTGCAGTGCAAACAGTGTTGACAACCAGAGGCTGAAAATATGGGGCTCTATTGATAAATTGAGGTTCCTAAATTAATTCACTCCTCCAAAGTATGCTGGGTTGCTTTATCCAGTACTCTAATGGTACATAAAGTTTCTGTAGTATGGAATACCAGAAAAGCTGTAGACAGAGCTTTGCAGTTGGCCTACTTCTATAGATGTATAGATCCCAACTCTGGCTATCCAATGGAAAAAGACAAATGCAGTTATTTTTTTTTCTCATAGTGAGAAAAAAAATGTTCCATAGAACATTTCTCCTCTATTATTTTATGTGCTTTCCATTTCATATGCAATTCCTTAAAATATATTTAGAGTAAGAGCTTATTATAGGGGCTAAGTATATGACTCAGTTGGTAAAGTACTTGCCTGGTATGCATGAAGCCCTGGCTCAGAGCCTTAGCAATACGTAAACCAGGCATGGCAGCATTTGTCTATAACTATAGCATTTGGGAGCTGGAAGCAGGAGGATCAGAAGTTCAAAGCCAGCCTCAGTTATGTAACAGTTTGAAGCCATGGTTTGAGACCATGTCTCAAAAAAAAAAAAAAAAAATCATCACCTTAATGCTTCAAAAGAAGTAATTACTGGAATGGTACAGAATACTTAATTTTATTCAAATGACTACTAAGTAAAAACATCTTCAGTTTATTCAAGGATATATATGCATATCAGACATCAACCCTTTGAGTTAATTTATATCCCAAATAAGATCATCTCTCATACAAATAACAAAAGTAAAAGAAACCAACCAAAGAAGCAAAAGCCAATTAAGAGTCATGGAAAATCAGGACGTTAGAGTGAAGTAAATGGTCAGAGGAGCCAGGGATGCTTCATGAAAACGTTAATCGTCAGTCAGTTCTAAATTAAATGAGGCAAAAAGAATAAAAACTGCGAAGAACAAAAGGCAGCGTGAGTGAAGACAGAGGGTGCAGTCAGCCTAGTTCACCAAGGTGACAAAACCCACTGCAGGGGAGGGCAGCATAATAAACGGTACAGTGCCCTGCAGATGACGGTTCTCGACAGACAGTAGAGCAACAGCCACGCACAGGAAGACAGGAAGGGCTGACAACATCCTGCTTAGGGAGCGGGGCCATTCAAAAGGACTAAATACCTACCGTATGATATAAGATGCTCAGGAAGAAGAAACTACATGTAGACAGAGACAGACTGGCAGGCCTGGGGAAGACGGGAGGGCTAGGGGTGACAACAAGAAGCTCATGGCTAATTCAAGATGATGAAAACGTTCTAATTGGCTGTGATGACTGAAAATCTGTGATTACCCTAAGAGTTGCTGATTTTTTTACTTTAAGTAGTGAGCTATGCGCTATATGTTCATTATAGCTCAATTGTGTTCTGTTAAAAAAAAGAAATCCAATGGGGTACCGGGGCCTGCTTATAATTTCAGCACTGAAGAAGAAAGAGGAGGCAGGGGGATGGCTGGCTGTAAACTGGAGGACAGCCTGCTCTATGCAGTTACTTCTAAACCAGCTGGAGCTATAGAGAGATTCTAAAACAAACAAATACATAAAAAACAGATGGCAGAATCTAGGTACTATTTTTCATTCTGTTTTGGATATGAATACTATATATGATCTGAATATTTCCATGTGGTTATATTTCTAAATGAAAGAAACGCCTAGCTTTGGAGACAGGTTTTAAATTACCCGTAAACACTTGCTCTCTGTTTCTGGCACAAGGGACTGAACATAAGGACTCCCATGTGTGAGGCAAACACTTTGCCCCCGAGCATACTCCTCAGTCCTTTTCAAAGTTTTTCAGGCTAGCCTCAAATTCTTGCTCTGGTCTCCCAAGTAGCTTAGATTACAGGTGTGCTACCACACCTGGCTAACATCTGCATTTTAAGCAACATATATAGCCTTTCTGTACAAATTATCTTGAAATCTATTAACTAACTTATCAAAGATGCTGTATCCATTCACAAAAGTGAAGATAAGAAGGAAGTCAATTTTCTGGAATTTTCCATAAACACCAACTCTGGTTTAACCTACTCTGCCTCAACTGCAATAGAAATTTCTCTGACAAAAGGTTCTCAATTTTCCCAGGGATAAATATTTTTTAAAAAGGCTTACAAACTTATAAGAAAAAAATGGGGCCAGTGAGATGGGTCTGGGGGTTTGAAGGCACCAGCGACCACCCTGATGATCTAAGCTGAGGCCATGTAGTGAAAGGAGGCAGATACTGCCCCTAACACACACACACACACACATACACACACACACAAGATGGTCTTGACCTCCACTGGAATGAGCCGGCATGCTTGGCCTGTTCCTCCACAAGAAATAAATGCATTTTTTTAAGTCAAAGAAAAAAATAAATATCGGAATAAAACTGAAGTTTAAGAAATAAGTTCATCATGTGCCGGGAGGTGGTGGCGCACGCCTTTAATCGCAGCACTCTGGAGGCAGAGCCAGGCAGATCTCTGTTAGTTCAAGGCCAGCCTGGGCTACCAAGTGAGTTCCAGGAAAGGTGCAAAGCTACACAGGGAAACCCTGTCTCAAAAAATCAAAAAAAAAAAAAAGAAAAAAAAAGAAAAAGAAATAAGTTCATCATAAAGGTAATGAAAAATATAAAAGAAAGCTATTTACTGAAATTATCCTAAACTATATTATTCAATAAGCTGAACACGGGCAGTTGAGACATTAAATTTCATACGTACTTGACTTCTGATCTGACCTAATTTCTTCTTTAAATCTCGTGTCTCGTCTTCTAAACTACTGCGGTAACGTGAGGAAACTTCTAGCGAGGCCTCTGACATCGACTGCTTTTTCAGGGTATCAGCCAGTTCCTGTTGAAGCTGCCTCACAACCACCTGGGGCGATAATTGTTATTGATTTTATAACTCACATTACATATATTAGTACCATTTAGCTCTTCCATATGCTCTGAAGAACATCACCGCATATAGTAGTGTGTTTCAGTAAGGCTGGCGGGGATGAATTCTACATTGTGGAACTTTTTTACATATTTAATTTTAATTTACTCATATTTTAAATTTTCACTTAACTGACATGTAAAAACATAAAATTGTACATATTAGCAAGGTACGACATGATATTTTGATACATGTACACATTAATGCTTAAATCAAGTTAGACACAATTATGTTTCCTAACCCTGATCATTTCTTTATGGTGAAGTCCTTTCTTCTAGCTGTTTGAAATATACAGTATATGTTCAGTAGCTCCATGTTTCCCGCTCTTAACTGTAACTGAGCACCCACTGACAGACTGCTTCCCATCTCTCTTCCTCTTCTTCTCACTCCAAACTCTGGGATCCACTATTGTCCACTGGAGCTTTTAAGACATCAGCCCTTTAAGATTCGCTATTGTAAGTAAGATCATGAGATCCTTATGTTCCTGTGCCTGGTCTTCAGTTATTGGCCTCTGATCAAGACTACAGGATTTTGTCCAGCTTTGGGCAGAGCCAATGTGGATGGATTACCCCACTCCCCTGTAGCATCTGAGGCCACCAATGGACTGAGGCCCACACAGCTATACACTGTTGCTAATTCATATCTCAACAGTAGCCATGTGGGATAGTGTTCATGAAGCTAGATCCTTGGCTATTTGGGCTGATGCTAAATTAGGATGTGTGTGAAACCCACAGCCACTGAGGCCCATGTCACAGGGTGACCCAGGACCAAACAGATATCCATTCCTACATACAAGTCTGTGCCTGTTGCCAGGGCAATATCCACATCCTGCCTTGCTAGGTATCAAGGTGAGACTGTAAGTCTATGTAGCTCAGAGTGGTCTCAGATTTGAAGCATCCTGCTTCTGCTTCCTGATTGTTGGATTTGCAGTTTGCATCATCATGTACATGCACACAGAGACTCAAGATCTCCAATTTTCTCATAATTCAATCTCCTTCTCAAATCCTTCTGATAGATTCCTACTTCAGAATGAAGGCAAGGCCCTAGGTAAGCTGATACCAGCATCCACAGCTCTCTCTCCTGCTCACTGCATCTCTGCTACACATGAACCTTTACACTCTTGGTTTTTCATTAGTTTGGAAATGCAGATTCAATGACAAATTAACAACGTACAGGTAACTATGATTATTTCTGTACTGAACAAAGCTGCATCCTTTACAATCATGATTGAGCCCTAAAATGGAAACAGGATCATGCTATTTATTAAAATGTGAAAAACTACAAATGCTGATATGAAGTACTAACATATTTTTAACTTTGTTAAAGTTCACACATCTGTCCCAACTTAGGACTCAAAAGAAAGCAGATGCTTTTAGAGTTATGGTGCAAAGAATATATAATTTGGGACAAGTATTATCTGATTTAAATACAAGTAACATAGGACAAAATTATATCAACAAGATTATACACAAAGCTACTGAAGGGAAAAAACACTACAAAATACAGTATCTATATTTCAGTTCCTTGATGAAACCCAGAATGAACAATCAACTGCCTACTTTATGGAATCATAACTGCCAACTACTCATTTAGTCATGAAAGTTTCCACTTACCTGCTTCATCATGGTTCTAAAACTTGCCAACATAAAAACATTGAATTTATTTCAGGGCTGGGGTGTGTAGGTCAGTGGTACAGTGTATGCTTAGCATGCTTAAGGCCTAAGGTTTAGTTTCCAGCAACAAAAATCACAATTTAAAAGCTCACATCCTTCCAATTATTATTTCAGCAGCATAAAACCGTATTACTAATATCAGTATACAGCCAGCAAAACTTGTAACTTAATCTCCTACAACTCTAAAGGTGTTTACTCAAAGTAACACATCTGTCAGGTCTAATTTAAAAAAAAAAGAATTGTCCCTTCTTTTTGGATTTCAAATTCAGTGCTATGTATGTAATTATGACTCTTTCAAAAATTTAAACATAATGGTGGTGTTAGGTAGAGTGTGATTTCAAAGCATGTATACAATGTGTAACAGTCAATTCTGAGAGTAACCAACACACCACATCAAATGAAGATCATCTTTGGGAAATAAGAGCTAAGTCGTACTTGCTGACACAGGTTATGTTTTTAAGGTAATAACAAATATAATCAATAGATTTTTATATTCAGCTAGATTCAACACTTAGTATTAATGAACAGTATTTTGAATTTCCCTGTGGGATGTTTTTAAAATATTTATCTTTCTTTGGTTTGGAGAGATGGCTCAGCAGTTAAGAGCTCTTCCAGAGAACTCAGAATTTGTAGCACCCACATGGCAGCCCACAACCATCTATGACTCCCATTCCAGGGGATCTGATGCCCTTACCTGGCCTGTGTGCGCACTAGGCATGCACATGGAGCACAGACACACACGCAGGCATACACCCACACACATAAGATAGAAATGAATGTTTAAAATCTACTTCTCTTTTGGTACTCACTTCTCTTTCTGCTTTCTCGTTTTCATACTGACACATTCTCTCTTTTAAGTGACTGCACTCACTCACTAATTCCTTGTTTCTGTCTTCCAGCATCAGCCTGTGCTTCTGGCTCTCAGCTTGGAGTCTGCTTAGCATATCATGAAACTGGTCCTGGATATTCACTATTGTCTTGTCTTTGCAATCAGCTTTGTTGGAAGCATCGTCTAACTGCTGCCGGAGCAGCATGTTCTCACTCTGGAGCTGAGACAGCCTCTCCTCTATGGACTCTTGCTTGCCCATGTATTTATTCACCTTCCCTTGCTCATCTTGATACATATGCTCGACTTCCTTCATCTGGCACTGCGTCTGGTTGAGGTCTCTTTGTACACATTTCAAAGACAAAGTCTTTTCTCTAAGTGCATCTTTTGTATGATGAAACTCAATTTCTAGGCTATTCAATTTTCTTTCAGTTTTCGAAAGCTGTTGGGAAAGAATCTCATTGTTATCTCTTAGGTTAGACATATCAAAATTCATCTTGTCTTGCAAACGAACCCACTCATCTCTTGCTTTCTGGAAAGCAATTTCTAGGTCTCTTTTTGATGTCTGAATTTCAGCATGGTCATGCACAGCAGAAGCCAGTCTAGATCGGAATGATTCGACCTCTGTTTCCAGTCTTTCTTTATTTTGTTTTTCATTCTCCAGCTTAGAACTCAGCATTGTGTTCTCAGTTGTAAGACTATTAATCTGTGCATTATACTGGAATACTGTTTTTGTAAATGTTTCTTCATTCAGCTTTATCATCCTTTGAAGCTTATCACTCTGTTCATGTGCAGTCTTAATATCCTCCAGGTACTTCTTCTCCTTTTCCTGGCTGTGGGTTTTTACTGTATCCAGCTCCAGTCTTAACATGGCAATTTCATCCTGCAACATTTGGTTTTTATGCAATAGATCTTTTTCTTTTTTATGACTAACAGAAACCTAAGTAAGGAAAAAACATTTAGCTAGCACAATTTCTTATGGAATTTAAGAACAACATATGAAATTTTGCAATCTAAGAACTGAAATACATATATGCAACTAAAAAAAAATCTAATTTCTGAGCTTACAGAAATACAAATTGCCAAAAGTCCATAAATGTAATTGAAGACAATGACTTTATGAAATTTAGAGAGAAATGATTCTTTTTAGAAACTCAGCACTGAGACAGCCTTTCTCTGGATCACAACAGGCTTAAGGCGCAAAGCAAAGATTAGTCAGTTGGTTCACACTTCACATTAGGAGATGGCTTAATGCCAGTGAGTGGACCAGAATACGGCTCCTAGCACCCATGTCAATGCCAGGGCATGTGTAGTCTGCCTGCAGCCCCAGCACACGAGACGCAGAGATGGGAGATCCCGGGGCAAGCTGGCTAGATGTAGTCACGTAGGTCCAGAGAGAGTATCTGCATCGATACGTGACATGCAGAGTGGTCAGAAAGACACTTAACATCAACCTCTGGCCTCTACATACATGCACATATGTGTACTCCCAAACAGACATGAAACATAGTCACACTACACACACAAATAAACACACACACACACACACACACACACACACACACACACACGCAAGAAAAAAAATTAGGTTTACATTTTAATATCTAACATATACAAACCAGTCCAAAGTAAGAGCTTTAGTTCTTTCATTTGGACAGAAGAAATTTCCCAAAGTTCTTTTAATTCCCCTTTTTCAGAAAGTTTCTCTAACACTTTTTTTAGTCTGTCGTAGGAACTACATTTATTAATAAATGCTTAAATAAGCACCATACAAATAAGTATGCTTGGACACGAGTGAACTAGTCACCACAACTCTGAAAAGGAGATTAAAAATGCAACAAGCTGCAGAAACCCAGGTCCGTCCGTCCGTCCATCCGTGTTTGTCCCTCCCCTCCCCCCGGCCAATGCTCCTTCGCCAAAGCACTAACTCCTTTACGTCAGACAGTGGGAGAAAGCTTCTGCCTTCTACTCCCCAAACGTGTCTTATGCATACACACACGGTTCAAAATCCTCTAGACTTTCCATGGTGCATAAGATGGTTCTGAAAGTATGTAAACATATAAATGCACACATATTTAGAAAACTGAAGAAAATACCTCACAGGTCATCTTCTTCTGTGCCATTTCTATCTCCTTTTGTTTACACAGGTGATTTGCAAGAATCCCATCCTGTAACGCTCTGGCATTCTGTTCTTGGGAAAGCTGTCTCTGAATTTCATTTCGTTCCTCTGAAATCTAGAGATACATTTCATGAAGTTTTCAGTCTCATACGATTGTGATAGTATGACTGCTGTGGACAGAATATCTAAAAGCTTATTTAAGAGTAGAACATTAAAAACAAACTGGAAGCTACCTATGAAAACATGAGGAACTCTATCCCACACGAAACACTCAAATTTGTACTGCATATTATAGTTAAATTGCTTACAAAGCAAAAACAGCTCTTACATGAAGAAAGAGTATTGTAAACTAGTTTGTTACAAACGTTTAACTAGTTTTAACATAATTTCAAAGTCTGCATTTTAAGAGGGCTAAACTAGCACTTAATTTTCCAGAGTAAACTTAACTTACCTTTTATTATCTCACTTAGAAAAGATGTTTGCAGTACCTAGCAGTTTCCAAGAGTCATAATAAATAGTGTCAGCTATCTATGTTAAAATTGACTCTTAGCATGAGGCACCATTGGTCAACAATGGACTGCATATGCCTGGCTGCCCGACACAATTATATGAACTGGTGATGAGGTTGATGTCTGACATGCTCACGACATTTGCACAATAATGAAACCAACAAATATTTTCATTAAGTGGTACATGGAGACATATATGTGATGTGTGTGTAGAAATATAATATGTAATTAAAGTGACTTTAAAAGTACAACAAATAAATGTAGGAATAAGAATTTTGCATCAGCCAGAAACGCCTTTAATCTAGCACTTGAGAGGCAAAGGACAGCCTGGTCTACACAGACAGCCAAGGTTATGCAGAGAAACCCTATCTCGAAAAAACTAACTCCCTCATGCCACCCCCCCCCCAAACCAACCAACCAAAAATGTCCCCCAAAAGAAATTTTTATAAAAGATTAACTTACTTGGTTCAAATGATTTTTCACTGTCTTCAACTCCATATCCAATGTTCTGAGAGAAACTTCAAGCTGCTGCTTCCCTTCAAGCTCGTTCTGATACTGCTCATCTTTTCTCCTAAGCTGCTCCATCGTTCTCTCAGAAAGCTGATGCGCGCTTCTCCGCTTCTCTTCCTCTTGTTTTAGTGAAAATCTGAAATTAAACGTGTGTATTTTAAAATCAACCCGACTATACAAAATGAAGTTCACTTTGTGACCTGGACCTCAAGACGGTTGTTAAAGAATTGCTCCTTTTTATAACTCATGAGTTTAATTTCTCACTTCAGTCTCTTCTAAAGCCCATATGTTCTTGATGATAACAAGGATGAATAAAAACTTTGTTGACTTTCTAGAAGTCTGGTAAATATTATTGGAAAGCAATTTTGAATTTATTCAGTAAAGTTACAAGTTGAAAACTGTCTTCTGTAGGGATAGAAAGATGGCTCAGTAGTTAGAGCACTGGTTGCTCTTTCAGAGGACTAGGCTCAGTTCCCAGCATCCATATGGTGTCTCCAACCATCTATAGCAACAGTTCTAGGGGACCTGATACCCTTCTCTGGCCTCAGCAGGCATTGCACACATGTATGTCTGCATACATATGGACATACATGTGGACAAAACTACCACACACATGAAAATTAATTAAAATTTAAAAAAATGGAATGTATCTTTTTTACACAGTTGTAATTACTCTCTAATCAAAATAGACTACTTAAAGTTAGATAATTGTTTAAAAGATGCACCATATTAAATTCACACCATGTACTGGAAGTAGAATTTTATCTTTATGAAACATTTCCGGCCTCCCTAAGTACTTGCAGCTTAGAAAGCGCCTTCCGACGTTGCCCACAGCACACTCTGACACCATCACAGCCAGTGCAGGCTGAGGAAGCGATCGCTGCAGCAACCTTGGAGGAATGGTTTTTCTGGAACACTTTTGAGGAATCTTGGGTTTTTGTTGTTGTTGTTGTTGTTGTTTGTTTTTTGTTTTGTATTAAGATAAAACAAATTAAAAATCCCTTTAAGTAATTAAAACTTCCCTAGAATTAAATGAAACAAAACCACAGCATATCAACATCTACAGGACACAGTGAAGGTAGTCCTGAGAGGGGAGCTTATGGCGCTAAGTGATTACATAACAAACAATAAAACAATGGAAGACAAATAATACACAATGATGTGCCTTAGCAGCTTGGAAAAATAAAGACAAAAGCATCCCAGAACACTAGATGGAGAGAAATAGTCAAGATCAGGACAGGAATTAATGAAATAGAAACAAAATCCTAATACAAAGAACCAATGAGACAAAAAGCTGGGTCTCTGAAATGCTTAACAAGATTGAGAAAGCTTTAGCCAAGTTAACCAAAAGAAGACCCGAATTAATGAAACTAGAGATAAAATGGACATTTTACAACAGACACAAAGGAAATTCAGAGGGTTGTAAGGATATGTTTTCAAAATCTTTAACCACCGATTGGGAAAGCTAAAAGAAATGGATGAATTCCATAATGTATATGACATACTCAAGTTAAACCAAAAAGAGATTTTAAAACATAAAAAGATCTACCACAAGCAATGAAACCAAACAACAATAAAATCCAGGTCCAGATGAATCCAAAATTCCCCCAGAACTTTAAAGAACTAAAACTGACGTTCCTCAACCGATTCCATAACAGGAAAAGAAATTTCCTTCCAAATTCTCCTTATGAAGCTAGCACTACATTGATACCTAAATCAGATTAAGAAACAAAAAAGGAAATGTATTCATCAATCTACCTGATGAACATAGATGCAAAACTTCTTATTAAGGTATGCAAATCAAATTCAAAAACACATCAAAGAGCTCATCCACCATGATTAAGCTGGCTTCATCCCAGAGATTTAGCAATGGTTCAACCTCAGTGTAATGTTGACCCTTCATCCCAGAGATTTAGGGATGGTTCAACCTCAATGTAATCTCATCTCATGACCTGTAGAACAGGTCTCTGAAAAGGCTCTAACATCCTTTCATGATAAAAGTCCTGGAGAATCTAGGAATACAGAGGCTATATCTTAACACAGAAAGGCAATACACATCAAGCCCACAACTAACATGCAAACAGAGAGAAAAGTGAAGCTTTTCCACTAAAATCAGGAAGAAGACAAAGATATCCCCTCTCTCCATACAGATTCACTGTAGTGCTGCAAGTCAGAACAACTAACTGAAGGAGGGTAATAGGATACGAATGGCCAAGGAAGAATTGACAGATAATATTCTCGACATGAAAGACTCTAAAGACTGCACCAGGAAACTCCTCCAGCTTATAAAGATGCTCATCAAAGTAGCAAGATACAAAATCAACAGACAAAACACCAGTACCCTTCTCATACAGTGACAAACATACCAAGAAAGAAGTCAGGGAAACAGCCCCATTCATAACAGCCTAAACAAACAGACTAAACCTCACAACAGAAGTGAAAGATCTGTACAATGAGCAATTGAAGACCCCGAAGAGAGAAATCCAACAAGCAGCAGACAGTGGAAAGACCGACGGCCCTGAACTTGAATCAGTAGGACCAATGTTGGAAAAGGACCATCCTACCAAAGGCAATCTGAAGACTCAATGCAACCTCTCAAAATTCCAATGCAATTCACAGAAAATGAAAAAAAAAAATCTTAACATCCACATGGAAACACGGAAGACCCTGGATAGCCAAACAACCCTCAACACTTGCACTGTTCTCGCTTTCAAGGCACTCTACAGAGCCATAGTAGACACACACAGTGAACAATGGAGTAGAAATGAGGACCAGATACAAGCCCACACACCTACAGCTACCTGACTATTTACAAAGATGTCACAAATACAAAATGCAGAAATAACAGCATCATCCACAAATGCTGCTGGTCAAACTGGATACCTACATGCAGAAAAACCTAGATCCTTCTCTCTCACCCTACACAAAACTCAATTCCAAATCAGCCAGGAACCTCACCATGCATCTATACCTGGCACCTGAATTAGACAGAGTAGAAAACACGGAGCATGTGTCCTCTGATCTGGGGAGTAAGTGGGCATTCTGTAGTGGACTGAGGCTTCGGGAGAACTGGGGCTTAAAGGCCCATAGAGTTGTGGGCTCTTGTCTAGCAGGAGGGTGTTTCAGGGAGGTGCTGAGCGAGACAGCAGAGTTATGATGGCTGGTGTAGCCAAGATGTGGCCTTGTATTGTGGGAGCTGAGAGGGTCCTAATACGTGGTGGTTTGATTCCAATAGGCTAAGCTGTGGCCTCTCATCTCGGGGTGAGGGGTGATGATTAACACATGCCATGATATGACAGGCTTAAGCGAGTTATTAGGGACCTTAAGCAAGACAATGGGGAAACATCTTGTGTGACATGAACAGATGCTCCTGGCAGGTCTTTGGGTGGTAAGATTAGAACACGAGACAATGGAGGGAGTGAAGGCTTTACATCTGGAGAAAGCAAGCACTCAGATGGCAGAGATGGGTGCTGAAGAGCAGGAGAAGCCGGGAATCTATTTGCAAGCAAGAGCCGCAAAGGGATCCTGGGATGGCCAGTTCTGAGTGCCAGAGGGCACAGTGGGCAATCTCTCTGCAGAGCAAGCAGAAGTATACGTAGACCTTCAGATGATGGAGGTGGAATGCCCAGGATGGGCGGCTGGGGATCAACCTACCAAGTAAGAGGTGAAGTCCTGCAAAGCAAGTGGCAGGAGCCCAAGAACGGTGGGTTTCTAGTGTGAAGTAAGGAGAGGGTGAAAGCTGGAGAGTAGATTAGGACTCCGTCTGCAGTGGGTGACTGGAGTCCGGGGAGGTGGGGCTGGGGTGCCCAGAGAGGTGAGTGGGCCTTACAAGGTAGAGTCAGGCACAGGTCCGGACCGGGTGTGTGTGTATGTGTGTGTGTGTGTGTGTGTGTGTGTGTCTCTTAGGGGAGGGAGGGAGTGGCCCTTACTAGCAGCATGTATGGAGGGAGTCCTGGAAGAGGGCAGGAGTTTGAGGTGGCCAAGGAATGATAAAAGGAATCTCTCTAATGGTAACGGGTCCTGGGGAGGCAGGGGGTTGGGGTACCCTGAGAATATGAAGGAAGGCCCTTTCTAGAAACACATGTGGAGGGGGTTCTGGGAAGGCTGGGAGTCTGGGGTGGCTGAGGGAAGAGGATAATGAGCTAATGCAGGCACCTTGTGTGGCAGTGGGGAGACGTGGGAAGGTGGTGGGGGCTTGGAGTGGGTGTGAGACGAGGAAAGGCCCTTACTAGGAATTTGTGTAGCAGGGTCGGTCGGGGGATTCCAGGGAGAGTTATGGGGTAGTTATGGGAGAAGAGGGTGGGCTCTGAAGGCAGCACATTTGGTGTTCCTGGGAAGGCAGCAGGGCTTGGGGTAGCTGAGGGAGAAGCTCATCCCTTATTCCTGATACACACTGTCAGCAAAGTAGCTATATACAACAATCAGCAGAAAAGAACTAGCAGGCTGTCTATATGCCAGTAATGGACTTCCTGACAAAGAAATTTGGGGGGAAATCTCATTCACAATAGCTTCAAAATAAAACAAAATAAAACAGCATGACACAACTTAGGAATAGACGTAGTCAAAAGGTGAAAGACATCCACAGTGAAAACTTTACAACACTGAACGAGATGCTAGAAAGTAGATAGACCTCCCATGGTCATGGACTGCCAGAATTAATTTAACAGATTAAACACAATCTTCATGACATCTAACGACACATCACTCTCCCTCCCTCCCTCTCTCTGTAATTTCTATGTAAATATTACATAGAAATCATGAGGCTGTGTGATGAGCTCAAGTGTTTATATCATATACTGAAGATTTTTTAAAAAGTAAACAATTACACAGAAAACAACTTACATCAGTATTCTAATATAAAACAAAATTTTAAAGTTATTTGATCAGCTGGGCAGTGGTTAAGAACAGCCTGGGCTAGAGAGCTAGTTCTAGGACAGACAGGGCAATACAGAGAAACCCTGTCTTGAAAAAAAAAAAAAAAA